CGGAGTGAGCCTGGATAAGGTGGGGCCCCATCAGTATGTGTCTCTGCTGTGAAGTAACACATTTTTTTGTGTGAAGCGCTCAATGAACTACAACTCTGGTCTTGCATACGTCACCAACACCAAGATGGCCGCCACATTAGCACATTTCACCTCTTTCTTTCAGAATGAAGCGAAAAGTATTAAAAGAGGTGAAAATCACTACAAGTCATGTGTACATACACAAAAGGGCAGTTAGTCGGTTCCAGCATGCGGGACCGGCTTTACAAGGTTTCGGTGAGTAACACGAGTGTAATGTGTAACGTTAATGTCAGCTAGCTAAATTCACTTTTGCGACTCTGGGATTTGTAGTCTTTCTAGTTGCATATTTTTCACAGTCTTATATTTCAACAGTTTTACGACAAACTGTGACTTTTTTGACATGGAAATTTTTTTTTAAGATTGACAAACACCATATGTCTAATTCGTGGCACAATTCAAACGGGTTCGAAAGATAATCTTTCTCTCCCCATTGACTTCAATACATAATTTTTCAGAAATAAGGTCCCATGGGGCGGAAGTAGATGGGCGTGACTTCGCCAATCTATTATGCCTTGTGTAGCGCACGTTACACAGAGGGCAATCACAGTGTCTCTCTGTGACAGCCGGTAAGTCGATGGTTTAGTTTAGGATTGGAAAATTGTCGGACTTAATGCCAATTTTTCTAAAATAATGTCATAATAAATTCAAACCCCTCTGATTTCTCTTACCAGTTTGTCAAGCATTTCTTAAATATTTCAAACATGATTTAATAATCACTAATCATCATTAGTTGGAAAGTCTGAAGTTAGAATAAACTAAAGTTTCATGATTAATTGATTTTTTTGATTGATTGACAGAACAATGTATTTTACAGTTGATGGAAGCAGGAAGCTTCATCTTCATTGCATTGTAGGAGAACATTGTGCACGTGTCGGAAGTCACAATTAACAGAAGTTTCCCTGTCATTACAACCCGAATGCACCCTCAGTAGGACATATAGATTGTAGATTTTACCTCTTCTTCCAACCAGTCGTTATACTGGACAATGCTCGCCATGGCAACATCAGCTCCCTTCATGTAGAAAGTGATGTCTCCGGTCGACTCCTCCTAAACCATATCATCAATGACAATTAGTACATTTCCTGTTCATGGAAGCCGAAACATGTAAACATCAGAATCCTATAGCTCTACACCAAGCATCTTCCAGCAGCCACATTTAACGCATCAAGGTCAAGAGTCATAAAAAACAAAAATAAATGTAATATGGCTGGTTCTCTGAGGGAGTATCATGCAAAAGTCATATTGTTATAAACAAGTTCCCCACCCTGACGATGATGCCCATCCTCTTGCTCTCGGAGGTAAAGGGGAAGATCTGCAGGATGTGGAAGGAGATGATCTGTCCGGAGGGGGTCCTCAGCTGCAGGGAGGCCAGGTCTCTGTTCACCAGGGTCAGGCCGACGCTCTGCGTCCACCGCACCAGCTCCACCTGAGGAAAACATTCAAAAAGAAAACTGTACAGAAGCTAGAAACAGGGCAGTTGGACCCCCTACACAATAACATTTACGCTCTAACTTCCATAAATCAAAGAGAGCTGATGAATTCTGCCATTTTTTATACTGACTTAAAAGGACAATGCAAAAGTCACAGTCAAATATCAATGACCTGGTTCCTACAATACGAGAGTATAGGACAGACCTCTAAATTGCATGTCATGTTTAACCTTGCAAAATTCATTATGATTCAGGATATTATGGTCCACATATGCTTAAACTTGCAACAAAGACATCCTAAACACAATAAGGTAATCTTAACCTAAAAGAAACGTAACCTTCAGAAATCAAGAATAGATTTCCTGTTCCACATTAAAATCCTATATTGTCCCATCCCTAGGTAAGGATGGAGATATATTGCATTCAACCCATCATTTGCAAGCTAATCTCGCACAATACATGATGGTGATTTTTTATTTTGCGATGATAATTTTTAACCAAATATAAAACATGTTGAATACAAATCCAAAATGTTGACCATGGAGCAGACTGAATCTTATCTCTCTTGCAGTTGAAAGACAAGGCCTGAGAGAGTTACGGCTTCTCCTGAGCTCCTCTTTCAGCTCCAGATAAGTGTTTTTCTGTTTCTCTTTCCTCTTCCCTCCTCAGCAGGAACTGCAGCCCCCGAGTGAGCGTTCAGCTGCACACGACTCAATCCTCAATGGGTTCATTTTCAATTTGCTCACTCAAAGGTTGTTATTATACTCTGACCTACAAATTGGAACTTCCTGTTAATACCCCGTCATTTCTGCTGCTCCCCCTTTGAGCTCCGTAAAAAGGAGCTGCCTGTATTTACTTAACACACATCTGTGTGTCATTATCCTGGTGGTTGTGTGTGTACACACATGGACAGATACACCATGTACTGAGAATCCTAAATCTAGCTGTTTGAGCTCTACAGAAACTATTTAAAGCTTTGTCAACTTTGATACAAACTGCATGTGAATTATGCGTTACGGCAGTAATAGAAAAGCTACTTTAGGACAGGCAGGATTAAACAACCCGATCAATATTCAACTGTGTTCACAACGTTCGAATGATCATGTACAATTTAAATCATAATGGTAGCACTGCCTTTAACATTAACAGCAGCTCAAGCATGTCATGAGGAAAATTGACCATTGACAGGTTAAATACTGCTCATGTCATGTCGATGTCAATATAAAAGGTATTAGAAGTGAATTATTCTGGAGATCATTTAACGGTTTTAACATGAAAAAAAGGGCCCTATTCTGCTAATGTTGAGGTTCATATTTGTATTTTGCTCCTCTACTGTGACATGTTTACCTGCTTTAATGTTCAAAAAGCTCTTTATTTTTCTCATACTGCCTGTGCTGCAGCATCACTTTTCACCATCTGTCTGAAACCAGAGCCTGGTCTGCCTGGAACAAATCCATTGGACTCCTTTGTTTACTTCCATAACATAGTGACATCACTATGTAACACTGGCTTTTCTATTGGCTGAAACTACAACATATTGTACGTAACAGGCTAAGGGGCGGGACATCTCTAAGTGGTTGACCAATCACAACAGAGCCGACCAGCTAACCAATCAGAGCAGACTGGGCTCTGGTTTCAGACAGAGGGTGAAAAGAGGTGCTGCAGCACAGGCAGTATGAGAACAATAAAGAGATGTTGACATTGTAGGCATTTAATCACAGTAGAAGACCAAAATACAAATTTGAACCCAAATAAATTACCTTATCACTCAGTGAAACTGCCAGTTTACATCCAATTGGAAATGATGAAGCACCCACTTCCTGACATGGCAGTCATAAAAGATCTACAGATGGAATGCTTTGTCTGAATTACGAGGGTCAAAGGTCACAGGAGACTCTGTTCACCGGCAGGTCAGATGACCTCTGCGACCGCCCACTTCATCTCCTTAATGATGGGTATTACATTAGAAGGAGGCTGAGCAGAGAGCCAGGGCCAAACAAACTATCACTAACAGACGAGCAGCAGCCAAGATCTGATGACTCAGTCAATGAGAGTGAGGAGACAAGGAGGGAGAGAGGGGGGCAGAGGGAAGAACAAAGAATATAGTAGAAGGGGAAGGGAAGGGCTCCAGCGTACAATCCCCCCCCATCAGACCTCCACCTCTCATCGCTCTGGGAGAAAATTAAATATTGATCATCCGAGCAGTGTGAGACAATACAGAGAGGGGAGATAGAACGAGTGGGCCGGGATATAATAAATATATACATCAATTCAGAGGGTGAGGACAACTGTGAATTTATCCCTCGCCACCTTTTTCTATTCTTTATTGATTGTTAGATAGCTAGACTCTGGGTTTCAACCCGAAGTGGCCGCATTCTCACAAAAGGCTCTCGCATGTCATGGGTGACAAACGTATTGAAATGGGGGTGTATGGGGGATTAACTACCCCAAACGCATTAAAACATCTCTTTAAAAAACAGATACTGACTGTTACTTTATCATGTTAAAACATCTTTCCCTGTTTTCCAGATTTAAGTAAGATTCCTCCTTGGTTCTCAATGCATAAAATGATATTAAGGCCTATATATAAAAGGAACGGTCAGGGAAACGGAAGCGGTAGT